TTACTTTTTAAATGTATCTAAATGACTTGAAATAGCGTGTATATTCTGAAATCTAGTCAACCATTTGACTAAACCAACATGCAAAATTTAGGCAAAAATGTAGGTCCAAAAATGTAGCTGCTGGTTGCCAGTTCATGTAAACTCATTGTTTAGTAAATAAAATTTTTATTTAAAGTAAAAAAATGGCACAAGCTTAATTTAAAAACCTATTTTGAAATTTCTAAGAAGAAATGCCAAAAATACATTTTCATTTCACTATTTTTTTTTTACCTCTTACTTTCACTATGAAGACAATTCCCAGCTTTTTTGTCACCCTTTGATATTATTGTAAAATAAATATTTGATTAATAAACCTCAGATACACGATGTTTCTTAAATAAATCTGTGCTCTATCATATATGTGTTAGAAATTCAAGGTCACAGTAAGTTTCTCATAAAGGGCCTAGGACAAGAGATCTTCAGTCTTAGGACCCCAAATAGTCTTCTGGATTGACAATGACCCGTTTGTTGGTATAAATATTAAAACTGAATGGAATGTGTTTATGAAGATGTACGTGTGTCGTGTTATTTGCAGGTAGTGTATAATGTAATAAAAATAAAAACTGGCTTTTTAATGACCGATGTCTACCAAGAACTACTTTATCTACATTTTTTGGTAGTGTGGTGGTACCCTGATTTTGAATCAATCAAAATAGCCGTTTGGTTCAAGTGATTTATAGGGGAATCATAACTTTTCTGGATTTTATTTTATTATGTTTAGTTATCCTTATGAATTAATTTAAATTTAAAAAAATCCACACTTTTTTATCCTGCAAATGGGTGCCGCCTCCTTAACTCTCTGTCAGTCATTGTTATAAACCCTGTTTTTGCACCTGTCAGCATAGAGAATACAGAGAAGAGGAGGAATGAAACAATGTTTATATTTAACCAGCTCATTTGCAATATTTGCGCTGGTTTTGCCTTGTCTGAACTGGATAATTATGCCATTTGCTAAATATGAATGTCAAATAAAATGGAGCATCTCAAAAAAGGTTAACACAAGTTATAGGTGATTCAATGTTTTATTTAATGGCATAAATCCCAGAGAAGTAACAATAGCCCATAAAAATAAAACTTTATTCCCAACTTCTTTTGAAGCACAAATCTCCTTAAAGGGGCACTATAGTCACCTAAAATACCTTAGCTTAATGAAGCAGTTTTGGTGTATAGATCATGCCCCTGAAGTCTCACTGCTCAATTATCTACCATTTCGGAGTTAAATCACTTTGTTTATGCAGCCCTAAGCTCACATCCTTGCGTGTGACTTACACAGCCTTACTAAACAATTCCTGTAAAGAGTCATCTAATGTTTACACTTCCTTTATTGGAAATTCTATTTAATTTAGAACGTCTTATCCCCTGCTCTTTTAGTAGCTTGCTATACCCTGTAGGAGCCTCCTGTAAGCAATTAAAGTTAAATTTGCAGAGCAGAAAATAAAAACTTTTAGAGTAAGTTACATCTGACTGAAAATTAAACCATTTTGTTTTCATGCAGGCTGTGTCAATTACAGCCAGGGGAGGTGTGGCTAGGGCTGCATGGGCAGAAACAAAAATAATTTAAAGGGACACTATAGTCACCTATTATACTCACCAGAACAACTACAGCTTGATGTAGTTGTTCTAGTGAGTATAATAGCTCCTTTCAGGCATTTTCATGTAAACACTGCCTTTTCAAAGAAAAGGCAGTGTTTACATTGCCCATAGGGACAAAGAAAAGGTAGTGTTTACATTGCCCCTAGGGACACCTCCAAGTTGCCACTCCTCAGATGGCCACTGGAGGTGCTTCCTGGCTCAGGGCTGCACAGTAAGCAGCCCTGCCATTTAGCGTCCCCATGCTCTGCATGGAGACGCTGAATTTTTCTCATAGAGATGCATTGATTCAATGAATCTCTATGAGGAGGTCCTGATTGGCCAAAATGGCATTTGGCCCGCCCCGTGCCAATTTTAGCCAATCCAATGCTTTCCATATGGGAAAACATTGGATTGGCTAAAAATCTGCCATTTTGATGATGTCACAAAGGGGGCGGGGGCCGCACTGGCGGTCCCGTGTGACACTGGAAATAAGGTGAGTTTTATACTTTTATAGGGGGACTAAGAGAGGGCAAGCCACCTACATGATGGGTTTAGCACTATAGGGTCAGCAATACATGTTTGTGTTCCTGACCTTATAGTGAGTGATCCTTTAACTCCTGAAACTTCAGAGGCATGATTTATACACCAAAACTGCTTCATTAAACTAAAGTTGTTTTGGTGATTATAATGTCCCTTTAATTCTACTGATGTCAAACTGCTCCTGTCTCATGTCAAAATACATGTCCTTCCATAACATACTGTAACGCTTACTCAGTTATTACTTTATAGATCCTATTTAATAATAAATATTCTATATAGTTATAGATGTAAGTCACACACCTATACATTTATACCTTTAGCCAAATTGCATTGTCCTCCTGGATAATTATGAGCAAGGCATTGGTCTCCTTTTTTCTTATCCACCTAAAGCTTTAATTGCTTAACATAATGTTTTATGCTCCCATTGTTGGCATTTTCTAAATATAAATAATAGTCTAAATGTTTTTTGTTTTTTTTATAAATATTGGTCAACTTGCTTTCCAGAAAATACTGGCATGTCTTCTCCTATAGATCACACATGTTGACTATACTTTTGCCAGAATAGCATCGTGCTGTTCTGGCGCACACAGAGAGGTCAGTTTCAGTTCAGGGTGATACATCGGCTTTCAGAATATTACTTATCGCATTGGTCAGTCATTATGGTAACTGGTGGTTACTTAATATTACAGAGATCCTGAAACTTTGGCAGAATGTATGTCTCTGAATGCATCAAGAGGGAATATACTTTTTATTTTCTCTGTTGACCCCTTCTGAGGACACTGGATAAGATCCCATAAAACACAGTGTGAACATCTTATAAACCTCACTTGGGCTGCGTGATACATCTCCCCCTATATGAGCGCACCACAGCAGAGCCCTGATCGACTGCCAGGAAGGGCACATCTACTTGAAAACGACTAGATTTAATAGTGCTGCAAAGTACCCCGTGTCCTCTCCCCCTCCCATCCTGGCTTCACACTTTCAATGTTAGAACCAAAAAAGAGTTAAGTCTAAAGAACACAAAATAAATGCATCCTCTGCTGTTTGCTATCTTATTTTTTTTTTTTTTTTTTTTTACTGGGGGGGTCA